TAATGAGGACATTAAGCTGAAGCTATATGGCACAGGGTTAGAAAGAGTGAGGAAATTTATAAGTTTCTGGGGTTGTGGTTTGATGAGAGGTTAACTTGGGGTGCACACGTTCAGGAATTGGTGGATAAGTGTAAAAAAGTTTTGAACATTTTGAGGTGTTTGGTTGGGCTCCAAGAACAAATTGTACATTATGTTACAGATTTTAATATTAATTAATCAGTGTCAATTTGTCCTGTTGTGAAGAGGGAGTGTTCGCCCAGGGCGCCAAACAGGCTAGGACCGCCACAGACTGGCATAACGTCGGGGCAGCAGGAGTACGAGCAATTTTTTATTTTTTTATTTTTTTCGGTGCCCGTGATGCCGCCCCCCACGACGGTGCCGCCCCGCGCAACCCCCCGTGTGAAAAACCGCTACAGATTATAATTACGATGTTTATTTTAAAACCTGTTTTAAATAAAAATACATTAAGAAACAGATATTAGATTTATATTTCAAAATCCAGATTTTACAGCAGCAAAATTATTGTATCTCCACAGTTTAAACATTTAATAAACTTTCTACTTGCACAGTGTGGATAGTCAAATTGAATCATCATAAATCCATTTTATATTTATTAATTAATTTTTTTATTCCTATTACGTTATTATTATAGAACTAGGAATAACAAAGGAAGTAGTCTGGATCAGCACCATGATGCAAACTTGTGGCTATAGTATATACAGTATTCTGGAGAAGGTATAAAATGTCACTGTATGTGCATGTTTGTGACTTAGGTATAATCTTTTTGGAAATTATTACTCATGATATAACACTGTACAGAACATCCCTCAGGAGAAGAGGAGGAAACCGTTACAAAAGGAGCTCTGTGAGGCTGCTAAAAGCAGTAGATCCCTCACCAGCTGGATTAAAAACGGCACAGGTAACAATAACACATACTAGTTTTTGCATTGCAAAAGTATTCAAGTATAAAAACAATAATAAACATACCTGCAATGTTTTGGTTTTATAACATTTTTCTGTCATTACTTCGTTATGGATAATTAAGCAATAGATTAATGCTATACCAAATTTTGCCTTGTTCTCAGATGGACAGCAAGTGGAGTGTGAAAGCTCAGATGTGGAGATGGAAGAAGGAAGAGAGGCAAAGAGTGAGTCACCAGCCGTGGACACCAGACGGTTAAAAACACTCCATTCAATGTCCCATTTTCAGAGTGCAACAAATCAGCCAACTGTGTTGAAATTTAAAAATGCCCTTGGTGTTGATTCAAAAATTATTATTATTTTTTTAAAATCACCCATATAACTAAATGACAGTTGTTTGCCCCCACAGTGTCTAAATTAGTGTTAAGATTTCTTTTTTTAAACTCCCTTTGAGAATGACATTCCTTATGATTCCACTGAGAGAATGTAGACACTTGAACTATGAGCCTAAATGTTACACCAGGGGTTCTTCAAACAGAAGATCTGGAAACTGTTTAAACAAAAAACCCAAATAAAACCACACCAATAAATTTGCAATTTTTTTTTACTTTTTTTTTTAAACATAAGGATCACAGGGGGAAAAAAATCCTCTTTTGAAGCTGGCCCCACACCAACATAATCCCAGTGACAACATGGAAACTTATCTCGCTGCAACAGCGGCCTCCTCCTCGCCTTGAAAATGTTACCAGCGCAGGACCGGCAGCACACAGGCTAGAGAGCCCTGCGTAGCTCTCGTAAATTAGAGTCTTGCTCAGGCCGGAGCTCATTTATTTCTGAGCTGCGCATGCGCGGGGCCTGTCACTAGAGTCCCTCTGGTAGTTCCACAGCAGTGCAAGAACACCATCTACTGACATAATGAGGTATAACCTCAATCAAACCAAAAATAAGCGGGGGGGATTTTCATACAAAATTAAACATGTAGCATCTTCCAACCTGCTACATAAACAAACAGATACTAACCAGAAACATTGTTTGTGAAGCTGCAACCAGTGAACAACAGTACTCACAAATGCAGGCAGAGGTTCACAGACAACGTGTGTCTGTTGATGACACATGTTGATTCCCACCGGTCGCCTTTTCTGTGGCCGGAATTGGACACCAAGTCGCACCGATCAGCCCGTCTTCACGCAAGCCGTTTTATCTAGCGTCTACATGCTCCTTCCTCCCAGAATCTGGGCCTCTCCCTCATTGAGGTGCTGACCCAGCTTTTCTAACAGATCCTTTCAGCAGCTGATAGGCCACATCAGGGCACACCCAACACCTCAACAGGTGCCTGCTATTGACTAATTTACTGTCCAGTCAGTCCATAGTGGATTAAAACAATGTCATACATAAACACTAAAAACATGCATTACAAATATCAAAGTAAAATCATGCAAATAAAATCTGAACCACACATACAAATAAACATTAAAATCAGCATAAAACAGACTATAAAACAAATACAAATTTCCACTGTGTGACAGTGACCAAGCACAGTGTCCAACCTAAAGAATTACTAAACTCTAATCAGCAGTAGTTTGTTGGTGTGTTTGCACTTTAAACATTTAATGTTACTGTTTGAAGTATGTAGCAAAACTAAAAGACTGAATGAGTGTTTTCCATGCAGAAGCGCCTTCGTCTTACTCGTAGGATTCTGCTGATCAGCCTGCTGGTCCTCTGGGTCTCTGCAGTCCAAGCAGCAAAATGCCCACAGGAGTGTTGCTGTGTCCAGCTCAATGTGACCTGTGTCAACAAGAACCTGACCCAGGTTCCTCCTAATGTTGATGAGGTATCTATAAACATATACACTTACTCATCAGTTTGTTAGATACACCTTGCTAGCAACTGGATACGACCAAAAGGATACAACCGCATCCTCTTTTATCTTCAGAACTGCCTTAATTCGTCATGCATCAACAAGGTCCTAAAACATTCCTCCCAGATTTTGGTCCGTATTAGCATGATAACATCACACAGCTGCCTGCTGCACATCTAAGATGCAAATCTCCTATTCCACCACATTCAAAAGATGCTTCATTGGACTGAGATCTGGTGACTGTGGAGAAAATATGAGTACAGTAATTTCAGTGTCATATTCATGGAACATGTTTGAGATGATTTGAGCTCTGTGGTACGCTATCCTGCTGGAAGCAGCCATCAGAAGTTGAATGTGGTCATAAAGGGATGGAAATGATTAGCAACAACAGTCGGGTAAGCTGTGGAGTTTAAACAAACCTCAAAAATGGGGCTGTTTAAACAATTCTGTTGCACAGGTGTTTATTTCGAGGCAAATACAAATTTTAATACCCCTGTTAGAGAATGATAAGGCTTCGGCTAAACTTCTCAAGCTGTAGTACCTATTAAATACTTATTATTATCCTCTAATATGTAATCTCCTTATAGAGAACAGTGAAACTGGACCTTCAAGGTAATGACTTACAGGAACTCCCCACTGGGGCTTTCAGGCACACCCCCTACCTGACTCACCTGTCGCTGCAGCGCTGTAACATCCACAAGGTGAAGGAGGGGGCGTTCCGTGGCCTCGATCGCCTGGTCTTCCTCGACCTTGCCAACAACAACATTGAGATCCTCTACCAGGTATTCTTAGACTTAAACCACATATATCCCATTATCATTTTAAGTGGTTTTTAAAAAAATAAAAATTAACTTCAAGAAGTCTACCCAACCATTCTCAGTGCAGTCCTTGGTTTTTTTTATGATTCTAGGAGTCATTTGACGGTTTGTCCTCACTAAAGCAGCTTATTATTGACCGTAATCGTGTGGCTGAGATCCAGCCTGGAGCGTTCTCTCAGCTGGGCTCCCTCAACCTGCTCTCCCTCTCACACAATCAGCTGGTTTACATCCCTAATATGGCATTCCAGGTACCCACACTAAACCGTGTGTACAAAATACTTCGAAATGGAAATTTCAAAGATTTTACAGAGATGCACCTGTTGCTGGAGCCTTAAATAAAATGCCAGCTTCCTTTGCTTTCAGGGCCTGCAGAATATCAAGAAGCTTCGTCTTAGTAACAACTGTCTAATCTACCTGGACACTGAAGCCTTTGTCGAACTGGTTAACCTAAGACGTCTGAATCTGTCCAGGAATCCAATCCTCTGCAACCGTTGCCTGCGTCCACTAAGGTACGATGGGCTGTTGTTGGTCATGTACTGACAGCTTCAGGAAACCTCGGGAAAGTGATCAGCACGATTTTCTCCCCCCCCCCTCTATTCTGCAGAGTGTGGGCTTTCTTTAACAAAGTGAAGCTGGTGGGGACTTGTGGAGGGCCATCCCATCTTTCAGGTGAGAGACTGAACGCTGTCGACCCTCCTAAGCTGAGATGCCAGAGTGAGGAAGAGGAAGCAGCAGGGATCATACCACGACCCACTGAAGAACCGAACAAGGTCAAGTGTCCTGCACACTGTGTCTGTGAGCTGAGTGCCACTAGTTTTTTGTATATTTATATTTTGTTTAATGCCTACCATATATTCCAAACTGACTTTAAACTCTTTACCTGCGTTTGCCAATATAGTTATTACTATATTATTAAAGATTAGCTTTAAGGCTTTAAATATTAATATTATATATATATTAATATCTTTTCTCTTTATCTAGATGGATGGAGAAAGTTAATCTGAAGGTACGAGCCACCTGTGCCAAATGAAGGGTATTTCCTTCTATATAGTGTTGTTTATTTTATTTTTAAGTAATCTTTTGACTTGTATTGTATGCAGCGTTTTACTTTTCAAACCATTTATTTGTGTAAATGAGTTTGTAAAAAATTTTATTCCTGTTTCTTTGTTTAGATTGTATCGTTTGGTCTAACCTATTTCTTAATGGTAGAGACTAATGAGGTGCATGTGTGCGTAAAATTCTGTACAAAACAAGTAAGATTTTGACAACCGAGGTTGTTTTAAAATGGTACCAGATGGTGTCAGAAAATAAGGTACACTTGTAAGAAATTTGACCAGTCTGCTGATGCTGTCTACTTATCTGTCATAGTCCCTGTGCCTCCCCGGCCAGCCCAGTGTGGCCACAAGTGTTTGTTGTTTTTCTTTCGCTCTCTGTCCTACCTGTCTGCCTGGGCGGAGCTCTGATTGGGCTCCTGCCCTTGGCCCACGCACCTGCAGCTGATCTCGAGCGAATTGCTGTTCTTTGGCTCTTCTTAAGGCTGGGGCTCTGAGCTATTTGTCGCTGGAATATTGAGTAACTCTCGTTAGTATTGCCTGGCTTCTTTGCGATTCTACTGTTCCCATGTTTGCCTTTGACTTACCCTCGTCTGTGTAAATAGGTTTACCTGGATCAGCCCTTTTGTGACCCCTGGACCCCGTGAGTAGGAGAGTGAGCTGCTTGTGTGGAGACTGTTTGGACGAGGAGCAGAGCGAGTGCGAAGAAGTGTGTCTCCCCAGCCTATTGATCCCCGGGACCCTGGTGTT